TCTCAGTAGCAATGACATAACCGCAGAACCTGAAACGAGTCCCCCATACCTTTCCCATCCCTGGGATCATGCCAAGGACACGAGTCATGGAACCCATGCGTGCGACTGCTCGAGTTTGCTTCAGGAAATCATTAAAGTCAAATTTTGCACTCATTATCTTCTTTTGAAGGTCTTCGGCATCTTCTTGGCGCATCTAGATATCAAAAGTGAAACCATAATTTTTCCAATTCAACTCATGTTCTGTTCAGATGAATGGAATACCCTGGATTTTACCAGCCACTTACTACTTCTTGTGCTTTCTCCACAAATGACAGAACATCTCCCATTCCTAAAATACGTCCAGCCATACGATCTGGGTAGAAAGGCTCCAGGTCATCCATTCTCTCTCCTCGTCCCACAAGTTTGATTGGCTTTCCTGATACCTGTCATTCCACAAAGTTCTTTATTTCTTATTTTCATCTTCTGATGTTGAAGCAAATAAAATGATGAATGATAAGTGACTTCCATAAATGGTCAACTCTCATAGAGCCACTAGACAGACATTATATCTAATACATGATATGCCGCTTAAAATGAGAAGTTATGCTAAAAAGCTAATATGTCGTACAAAGTTATTTCACCGGTAGGAAAATAATCTTGAAAACCATCCATGACTCCTAAATCCTAACCGATTTCAGAACAGAATTCCAGTTGCAGGGACCTATATGTGAGTTGCTGTTTATCATTATCAATCCCAGGATTTGAACCATGATCTTTCCTTACTAAGACAACAACCATTATCAATTACACTAAAGAAATCTTTTGTATCTTTTTAATTAAAAAATTGAAAACCTGAAATCTAAAAATCATACAACTTTTACATTACTGTTAGCTAGCCCACCAACTTTCCCGTAAGTACTTTCTTTGTTATTTGATATTTGAATTTTCATATTCTAATTATTTTACTTGGAGTTTAATAATAAATTTAATTTATGTTTATCGTATAAATGGGGCATAATTTTAAAATTGAAACCCAAATATCATTGATTCGAAATAAGTATGTTTTCTTATGGAATTTGAGTTCTTAATAGATATAAGTTATTATATTCCATTTCAGTCACTAAATTTCTAACTTATATGTAAATATATTTAGAAAATGTGTAAAACAGCTCAAACAGGTTGGACCTCAATCTAACCATTAAACTTCAAATTACTTGATTGACCGACTCAACAACTTAAACCGGTTTGATAACTTTGGTTATAACAATTAAGCTAACAATGTTCATTATTGATAAAAAGTTAAAAGAATTTCGAAAATGGAAAAATAATTTATATGTCACCTTAATAGCCTACGAAATTCAGCATTTCAAGTCATTTAAAAATTTTAAATACACATCATTCATACATTGTATTTAATGACATTCCCACCAACGGATGACAACAAGCTAGTAGATAAATAAAACTGACCTCTTTAACACTCAGAGCAGCCCCACCTCTGGAATCTCCATCTAGCTTTGTCAAAATGGCACCCGTGATTCCAATTTCAACATTGAAAGTCGTCACTAGTGCTGCAATAGCGTAATGACATAATGCTTAGATGATATTCCTGAATGTGAGGATGTCTCTGAACGAGCAAATTCAGCACTTTTGGGAAGATAAGTAGTGAACAACAGCAAGAACACATAGGAACAACACAAATGCAGGGAATATTTCATTGTAAATCTTAACATCCGAATTCTCTTCAAAGAAAACCCGGCATAAATTTGGACTAACTGTCCCATCTGAACCCTTAAGTTTCACTCAATTCATCAGCAAACAGCACCTGTGATTTTAGCTTAGATGCTAGGCTGCCATCTATATGTGTGTGTGCGTGTGGATCTTTACATAAATATCAATCCAAGCAATTCTGAATTATTGGCTGTGCAAAATAATTAGGGATAACCTGCAGCTTCCTGGCCCGTCATTGCATCCACAACAAGCAAAACCTCAGTCGGATTCAGGACTTTCTTCACATCTTTCAATTCATCCATCATCCCTTTGTCTATCTGTAAACAATTAAGCCATTAATTATTTAGCCAGAGGACAAAGCCACAGAACTTTCCAAGAACTGCATAACTATTGTGATTTACATATTCACCTGAAGCCTTCCAGCAGTATCTACTATCAAAACATCAACATTTTGCCTTTTCGCCTCCTGTAAGCCTTTCCTAGCTATTTCAGAAGGCTTGACATCTGTCCCTTCTGCATAAACAGGAACGCCCACCTGCAGAAAACTATTGATGTGAAAAAATTTCATGGCTGATAACCATTCAACTCTATGGACAACAGACTTCTGGTATTACACAAGGACTCAATCTGGAAGGAATTTCTGATACAAGCATTCCATGATATAGTTTTCATTACAAGAAACGACATTTTGCATATCCAGTGGCGAATAATTGCAGTTTATTACTAGAACAAAGGACACGCTGAAAGGTTTTCAACGGATGGTATTGATACTTCGGTGAAGTAGGGAATATACTACCTGTTCACCTAAAATGACAAGTTGCTCAATAGCAGCAGGCCTGTACACATCTCCAGCAACAAGCATACAACTCTTTCCCTGTGCCAACAATAACAAGTGAGAACTAAGAGATGATGCAGAATGCTATTGTTGTTTACTAAGATAGGAGCACAGTTTCTGCTGAAAGTTGTACCAATGCCACAAAGAGAATATAAAGAGCATCTCTTCGACTACCTACCTGTTTCTTAAGATAGTTTGCCAGCTTTGCACATACAGTTGTCTTGCCAACTCCTTGCAGACCAGCCAATAATATGACTGTAGGGCTAGATTTCCCAAAAACTAGTTCTGACACCTCTCCTCCCATTAATTTCACCAACTCGTCACGTACAATCTACAGTAACCAGATAAGTTACATAATCTGACAACCGCTTCAGTGTAGCTTAAGCAAACTTGACAACAGAAAGCGTATCAATTGAATGCTTCACCAACACCCAATTCTTATCAGGCACAAAAAGCTGAGGAAGACTCCAAGTCATCACTTATTACCAGTTACCACTATAATTGAAATGCATACCTTGACCAACTGCTGATCAGGCTTTACTCCTCGAATGAGGCCTACCCCAACGGCTTCCTCGCTAACTGATTGAACAAACCTTCTAACAACTGGAAGGCTTACCTACCACAAATATATATATATATATATATATATATATATATTATAGGTGGCTACTTCGGTGCACCCACTTTTTTGGGTGCACTGAACGCACCCACTTTTTTATTTAATCTCAACCGTTGAACACATCTAACGGTTACAATAATTTGATTTATTTATAATTCATTATTAACTAATCAACTATATTATATTTATTAAAACAATTTATAATTAATGACAATTGCAATCAAGTCCCTCACGTCACTTAACCCTCCTGTTGGCCGTTTGTTTTCCCCTCTGGCACCGTCAATAGTTTCCCGGTGGCAGGCGACGATTAGTTTCCCGTGCCGGGCAACTGCCATCGTCGTCCTCCGCCACTAACCCATCTCAGGCGATTCCGTTTGGAATAGGAGAAGACAGATTTCTGTTCTTGATTCGTTCCCAGAAATCCTCACTTTCTCTTCAATTGTTCGAGTCTTCTGGATCCTTTCCTCTTCCTGCATCACTACTTTCTTTTTCGATTCGGCTGCTTTGTTGGTCGATTAGTTCGATTTCTCGACAATCGCCTTTGTATCCCTTCGATTCGATCGTTTCGTCGACGCAATCGTGTTTCCTTAGTCCAGTGCAATCGGCGCTTCAGTCTCCACCCGGCTTCAAGGATATCTCCTGGACGTAACACACCGACCAACCCCCTCTACACCCATACGAGACTTGCGCTGATTGATTAATTCTGGGGAACGACAGATTTGCTGAGTTGCGGTGGATACAGAGAGTCAACTAAAGATCGCCGGCTGTCGAGTGATTCCCCTGCGAGCTTCGCCGGAAACAGGATAGCAGTAAGATTTGGTGAGTTGCGGTGGAGCCTCCCCTGCCATTCCAATTCAGTTCAGCCTTGTTGCTTCCTCACGTATCCAGAACCTAAAATCCGTAGAGGTAATCGACGCAGCTTTTTTAGTTATTTTGTTGAGTGATTTGTGCTTTGGCTGAAGGGTTAGTTATGTAATGTAATGTACTGGTCTTGTTTTGGGTTCTCTTAAGTAGAAGAATATATAGTTTTGTTGTTTACTGTACCTTGTCTTTATCAAATAAATTGAAACAAATTAGCTCTGCAGGTACGCAAGTTGAAGGTGGAAGATGGATCCCACCAGCAATAATACACCAACAAGTGACAGGTTAGTCATCCATACTTTTGATTTAATACTACAAACGGAGTATTTTACTTTAACAGTCATTTTTATTTAATTTTTACAGCAACGAAGTTAGGGTAGGGTCAAACATGGAGGGGACCTTTACTGTAAGGGAAAAAGAAGTTGAGGTTGAACCAGCACGTGAGAATGAGGAGGAAGAAGAAATAGCACAATCTGTGACAAATGAGAATGGGGAAGAAGACTCCGAACAATCTATTCATGTTGAGGAAGAAGAATGGGAAAATTTATCGAAGTTGAAGGCTACTGATGTCTATAAAACGACTTTTGGTAGTTTGCAGGATGGTGAAGCTTTCTATAGGAGATTTTCCAGAGCAATTGGGTTTGGAATTAGAAAGAGTAATACTCGGTATGATACAAAGAAAGAAATCGTGTCGCGCAAGTGGGTTTGTTCTGGTGCAGGTTTCAGACTAAAGAAAACTACAGACAGAAAAATAGAACCAAGGGTAGTAACGAGGTTTGGTTGTGAAGCTTATATGCTTATCACTTTGAAGAAGAAGAAGGACATGAGATGGCATGTTACTCGGTTTAGAAATGAGCATAATCATCAATTAGCTCCCTACCATCAAGTTCATCACCTTAGATCACACCGTGAGTTGAGTAAAGCAGATGCAGCACTTGTCTCAAGTTTGAAATCTGGCGGTTTGAGGCCCTGTCAAATCATGAATGTTGTGTCCAATGCAGCTGGTGGGTATGCTAATGTGGGGTATACGAGGCAAGACGTATATAACTATGTCGATAGGTGCCGAAAAGAAAACATCAGCAACGGTGATGCTACAGCTGCACTGAGTTACTTGAGTTGTAAAAGCTACAATGACAATGGTTTTTTTATGAAGTTCAAAGTTGGTGATGATTCGAGACTGGAGAAGTTATTTTGGGCGGATAGCATAAGCAGGCTAGACTTTGGATGCTTCGGTGATGTGTTATCGTTTGACACTACATACAAGAAAAATGCGTACAATATGCCTCTAGTGATCTTCTCAGGTATATTATTGGAATTACAAGTTTCTTTGTTTTTTGAATTATTGTGATGCTTTAATTTCAATCTACATATGTTTGGTCAATATTGTAAAAAGTTCGGTAATCTAATTAATTCGTGACTAAAATTATTGTGCTAACTTTAATTTGACATTGCATTTTTCGTTTGTAGGTGTAAATCATCACAACAACACGTGTGTGTTTGCATGTGCACTCATGAACAATGAAACTGAAGAATCTTATGATTGGGTGTTAGAAGCCTTTGTGGAAGCAATGGGTAAGAAGCCTAATGCCGTTGTCACAGATGGAGATAAAGCAATGGCGAATGCTGTTAGTAAGGTTTTTCCTGATGCAACCCATCGTTTGTGCTCATGGCATCTGTTTGGTAATGCAAAGGACCATGTGAAGGATAAGAAGTTTCTTTTCTCGTTCAAGAATTGCATGTTTGCTGATTGTGGGATTGAGGAGTTTGAAGAGAGGTGGAGGTCAATGATCACCAAGTTTTCAGTTGAGGACAATAGCTGGATTGGAAACACTTATGAGAAACGGCGAGAGTGGGCAACTGCATACTTAAGAGATAAGTTTTTTGCTAACGTCCGGACGACATCTCGTTGTGAAGGGGTCAATTCATTCATTAAGAAGTACGTTAGTTGTCAGCATAATCTCCTGGAGTTTGTGAATGATTTTGATCGTGCATTGCGGCATTTCAGAGAGAATGAGGTTAAAGCAGACTTCAAGTCCAACTATGGAACTCCTGAGCTAAGAAACACAGGTTTGAGATCTCTCGAAATAAGTGGTGCTAGTGTTTACTCAAGGGAGGCATTTTTTACATTTCGGGAGCAGCTCGAAGCATCTAATGGATGCATTATGACCAGATCTTTTGAAAGATCTTCTCACCGTGTCTATGAGATGACAATGTATGAAGACTCCGAGGTTGTCATAGAAGTTACATATCAACCAACCACATCAGAAATGGAGTGCAGTTGTTACAAGTTTCGTAGTACCGGTATGCTCTGCGCACACATGATTTCTGTATTACGGGAGCAGCGAGTGAAAGAGTTGCCTTCGGAGTTGGTTTTGCCGAGGTGGAGAAAAGACCCAAAAGGTACTATGGAAAAACTTCAAAGAAATGACACTCCATCAGAGGAAGAAGAACGCATATGGAGATCTGGCATTATACAGTACCACAACTTACAATTGACATCCTTAGCTGCCGAATCTCCAAGTATGTTCAAAGTTGCTCGGGCAGAGATTTCAGCATTGTGTGCGAAATTGAAGGGAATGAGTACTCTTAGTAAAGGTGCTTCCTCAGAGCCTGCTGAAGATGATCACGGTGATGCATCTGAACGTTATAAAGATGTTAAAGATCCGGTACAGACACGATTTAAAGGTGGTCGGCTGACTAAGAACAAGAAGGGGAAGGTCGTCAAATCGAGACAATGTGGCCATTGTGGTGGTTTTGGTCATTATGCCTCAACTTGTAAAAATCCTCCAAAAAATTCGACGAACAGTTCGAGTGAGCAAGTTAGAAACAAGAGCACAGCAAAGGTTGAGGAAGAGGACGAGCTTGATAACGAGGTCGAGGAAGACGAGGACGACGAGGAAGAGGAAGAGGAGGAGGAGGAGGATGACTCTCAAGATGACGACGAGGATGGGGACGATGATGAAGAGGAAGAGGATGACGATGACAACGACGATTCTTGAAGTAAGTATGCACTATAATTTTATGTTAGTCCTCCTGCTGCTCGTGGCCTTGTAAGTCTTAGTTGTAGCATTTCATTTTATGTTAATGTTAGTCCTTAGCAGGACGGCAGTTTAAAATGGTTTTTGTTTTGCGTAGGCTCCGGGTGTTGGAACTAGTTCTGGAATACCTCCTATTGCCAGTGTGGATAGACAGACAGGTACTGTTAATTGTAGCTTGTTTAGCATACCATGAGTTTATAGTGTTTTCTTGTGGATTAAGGAACTGGATATATACTACAACCTTGGTCTTTCCTTTTTACTCATGTCATTAGATCTCGTACTCGTAGAGGTACTACTACTGTCAGCAAGACTATGCCAATTTTAATCTCCAATGGACAGTTCATTTGTACTCTTTTCGGTATCAGTTCATTAGTTTAACTCAAATTTATTTATTTCTGCTGTCATTTCAGGTAATGCAATCAAATGGAACTATCCCGTACGTGTGGCTCTAAATTCTGGAACTGAAAGCAGAAGCATCAAAGCATAGATATGCCTACTTTGAATTATGTAATATGTACTCTAGCTCGCAAATTCTTGAAAATTTCGTAGTTAATTAGCTGGTGGACAAACTTTGATCAATCGGATCTAGCACTCATAGTTATTTATTTGGTCAAGCTTTGAAATTGATTTGGGTAGTGTTAAAATTAGCAGCTCGATTAAGAATTTCATGTTAGATAACTCATTGATCATATTCATGATATCTGAGTGGGACATCAATGGAAACTGAATTAAATTATCTAAATTACAAGACCCATCCCGGCGCAGAGTGTGGGTAAAAAAACTGAATAAAATTGTAAACGATAGTCTTATGTACGAATGGCAGGCGACCAGCCTAGTGGTTTAATATGCTGACTAAATTTAGTAACATGGAAAGGTAGCAGGTTCGATCCCCCATAGAGACTTTAAAAGTTTTTTATGTATTTGTTTTAGTTTTCCTCTCACTTCGTTAGCTTCCTCATACAGCCAGACCAGCGTTTATAGTCTATACAAATATCTAAAGTGGTCCTTGTACTTCTACTGTTTACAACTAGCTCTTATTAGACCTTGGGCCATTACAACTCCCAACCCCTTAAAAACTAACTTCCCCTCAAGTCTGTATCCCCTGAAAACCCACAAACAATGCAGCAATGAATTGACTCAAAACAAAGGAATTGAAATGAAACTATAACAATAAAGTAATGACTCCAACAAGGACACTTCTTTAGCCAAGTTTGATGGGAGGTTGCTACTCAAATATGGTCAGCTGCTGGGAGTTCAGGTGGACGAAGGAATTCAGTGACATCATGATTGCAATCCAGGAATAAGCACCAACACAAGGAACTCATATGCAAGTTCATTCGGCCACTAAATTGGAATCCCATGGGAAGATAATTGACAGAAGCTCTTCTATTAACAGCAACCTTAGCAACTCTCAACCATTCAGAAGTAGTGACAGTAACACCAATCAACTCTTCCAGAACACCACTTAGTGCCTCTGCTGTATGTGGAAGATCACAGCCATTAAACACGTCCCAAGCCTCCTTGTACGATTCTTTGAACCCACATACATTGCCTCGTCCATGAAAACGAAGACAGTCAATTAAGCACCTGTAAACAGCTCCCATGAACAACCCCCTGCACTCAATAATGTATAACAACAGGACACGGTTTACTTTCCCATCAACATACACAAAGAATAAATTGAAACAAACTGAGATGAAAAGAAGAGAAGATAGCTCTTTAGTTTCATCAAATCGCATTAAAATATCCATGGGCAATATCATTCAGCTTAAACCCAGCCGTCTAAGCAAAGTACTAAAGCCTCATAACTTGGAACACTAATCCCCAACAACATAACGAAATGAACAAGAGATTCCAATCCACGGAATAGAACTAATAATCCCAACAACATGCAGAAAATCCTCCAAAAATAAAACCAAGCCAATTGTTTAAACACAACAAAATATTGATAAACATCTCATTCGCCTCAATTCATCCAGTAAAGCTTATTCATGCGACCAGTTCTCTTGCTTTGTGAAGTAAGGCTGTCTTCTCATTCTGGGTGCAATCGATCAGTTCCAGCACCAACTTCAAACGTTCATCCTCACTATTGAACTGTCAAATTACAAATGAATTGATCAATGAAATTAGAAATCACAATAAATGGAGAATGAGTCGATTTTATCAACTTACCCGTTTCCCCATGCACTTTGCTGTCTTTTTGTTCAAGGAGCGGCCACATTTCATCCAATTAATCACAAACATACCACAATCCCACCTGTACAAAGAACGTAGCTCTATTAGTGAACTTATTCGAAAAAATGGTGTACAAATGAAAACATTGCTATTCTACTTACGTATTGGGTTGGCGGGGAGCATCATTTGTTGGGTTGAACTCAAAAGCCAGAAATGAGCTAACGTCATGGAACCAGGCAGCGCCGTCATCAAAAAATAATACATCCAAGGCTCCCATCTGTAATTGCGCAAGTTAATGTTAGTACGATTGTATCTATTACCAGATTCCGATGTCTACAAACTCTACTTACAATGTCCACCAGCTTTTGATTAATTTCTGTCTCCTTCATGCATGACGGTAGCGAGTCCCAAAGACAGTACTGTTGCTTCTTCAGGTTTACCACGCACAGCAAGAAATGGTTCCCCATGTATATGGGAATGAATATCTATAAAAAAACATATAAAGACAGTTCGTGCATTTAATCTCATGTACAACCAATACAAAGAAGTAGAAAGTCTAGGTTCTGGAGGCAGTATGCTTTCACTGCTTGCAAGGATGGGACATAATATCTAAGTTCTGGCCAAACTGAAATACAACATAAAATAAATCAGGGAGAAAGTTAATATGTAAGCAAGACAATTGGCTCTAGAGTAGACTGATAAAAATGGAAAAGTTAACTGCAGCATCAAGACTGAACATGATACCCTGAATTTTACATTGTGGGGTTTCTCCTAGTGATTCGATGGTCATGGGAAAGGAAAACTTTGAATCAAGCTTGTACAAAAATGATAAAGCACAACAGTGATAATCAACTAATTACTCAAGTGAAAAAAAAAACAATTAGTTAAGCATGTTCATTATGATCATTGGCTGTTGACTACTGAATCAACAAAACAACAATAAATTAACAGCAAGACATTAAAACATGTCGAGGTCTGGGAGTAATCGCCTTAGTCAAGGAAAATAAATAATCGATGCCATCAACAGCAAAATCTGTTCCTACTAAGAACAAAATGAAGGTTTTAGCTTACTACAGGTTAGACATCATCGTTGCTGAAATCCCACCAATTACTCTTCTTCAAGAGAATCAAACAAAGTTCTACTCTAAATCAGTCTAAGCCATACCACATCTAACAGCTACAACAATGTACACCTGATTAGCCATACAAATTGAATTCCTATAATCTCAATCAGCACTACTTGTAAAAGCATAGGAGACGGATAAGTGATAAAATTCACAATGAAAAATACAAATTCTAATACAAATTCACAATGAAAAATACATACCGCCTCGCAGTCACGAATGTCAGTACAGTATAGCGTTTTCAAGTGCTCTAAGCTGATGAAGCTTCGTAGGTCGTCTCTATTTCCAGAAGCTTTCGCCTAATCCAATAAGATGATCAGTCAAATGAAAATCTCAAAGCCACAAGCAAAATAAATGTCATACCGCAAATGTAACGGGCAGAAAGGCGCATTCCCTTTTTGGTTTGTCCCTGTCTTCCCATGTCAACTTTTCGACAACAGTGTCCAGAATCTGTAGTTCACCAGATTAATTATATATGGGTTTTCGTAGGTTACTTTGTAAATGTATATCAATGGCCAAACATGCAGAACTTACCAACGTGCTCAGTGGAGATTTAGGTGCAAGGGTCAAAATATCCTCCCTAGTTAGAAAGGTGCAAATTATCATGGCGATCTTCTCATCACTAATGAACAAAGCAATAATTCAAGTTAGAGTCACAGAGACAAAAGTACTTAATAAATTGAAAAAGATTAAGAAATAATTACCCTCCCTCTTTGCCGGTACGGAATACATAATCCACTAACATGCTGTCCTCGGGACTGACATGAATCCCCACTGTGAAAGGCCCAGCTCTACATTTTGTAGTCTTTTTCTTGGGTTTGGTAATATCCGGAAACGCTGGCACCTTCAATTTTCCACCCACGGAACGAGCACTTGCACGTGCACGGCGTACAGGTTTGCTATTTCCCTAAAGTGTAATGATAATTAGGGTCAGCAAAGAAGGAAATAAAAAGCATACATAGCCGTGTAAAAGAAACTCACCCCGTCTGATTCTAAAGTCAAGTCGACATACTGGCGTTCCTTCTTTGTCTCAATGAACTTCTGAACCTCGGTCCTCACTGCATCCAGCAGATCTGTCTTCAGGTTTTTGATTGCATTGTTCACGCAACGAACCTGTTTAGACAGATCAGCAACCTCATCACTCAGGGTACCCCTAAGTTCTGTAACTTCCGCTTCAACCGCTTCAGTCGTCTCTCTCAGAAGCTTACAATGCTCATAATTCCTCCCTGTCAGATCCAATAAGTCATTGGCTAGGTCATCGAAACGCCTATCAGTTTTTCTGAACATCACCGTCACTCCCTCATAAACCTCTCTAATCAGATTCTCAACCTTCTCGGTATTCTCCTGCATCCACGAAAACAAATAATACAGATTTGTAAAAAAGACCCATTTTCCAGGACAGAAGTGAACATTGCTCGGATCATATTCAAAATTTGATAATACATAAAATTTGAAAAGTTGCTGATATGAAGCTCACCATTGTATTCTTCGAAGAATTCCCATTGAGGCCATTAGTTGATTCACTTCCCTTGTCCGCACCCCCCATGTTTCCAGTTACTATCCAACTACACAGTACACATGCACAAAAATACGATTACACACAAGACCAGCAAAAGGGGCAAAGGCAGAACAGAATAAACAATGAATTAATATACAGGGGAAACTTTAATGAGAGAAGGGAAGGGAACGTACTAGTTTGCACACAACAGAAACACAGAATTAGATTCACACCACTATTCTTATTCACGAAAGAGTTTATAACACCCGTCGAAAAAAACTGTTGTCGCATTTGAGTTTGAAAAGGACTTCTACGGATCTGAAAATCTGTATGCATCTGCAATATCTCATTTTAAAATTTAAAATAGCTAAACTCTAAAATTAAAAATAGATAAAATCTTTATGTTTTCGCATTTGAGTTTCTGTAACTAACTTAAAAAACTATTATATTTGAAATTTGGTACTGCTGCACTAAAATCGGACACAATGAAACAATAAATCAGCAAACCGCATCACACAGACCTAATCCCTCCTTCTTAACAGCTTAAGATGAAGAAAACGTTTTTTATTTGAGAGGTAAAAGTCGGATACATGACAAAAATTGGATAAACATTGGATAAAAGTCGGATACATTTGAGTTAATGCTACATGACAAAAATTGGATAAAAATGACTAGCAAATATAAGGGAAGTCAAAATAATCATTCAATTGAAGGACCACCGCAGACCAAGAGCAAGAATGAACTATTAACATCCGAAGAGCATAATGGACTATTAACAATGTACAAAGTTTGAGGTTATCTCAACAAAAAGATCTGGATAATGGTGCTCTCAGCCAAGGAAGTTTCATTATAATAGTGGTGTGGACCCAGTTTTACCATCTAAAATTCAATCATTAATGAGTT